ATTCTAAAGCAAGTCTCGATAGGCTTTCACGACCATCAAATAAAAGGTGATCTGGTTGGTCGTCTGGGATGTTGTGAGTAGATCTGGGAATGCATGTCTTCTTGATATAATTTTCAAAATGTGTTCCACATTATTTGAAGAAAAGACCAGAACACAAAATAGGAAGTGAAGATTCAATTATACTATATCTGTTCCACAAGCAAAAAGACTTAGTGAGAGCACAGAGTGAGACTCCACAGTGAGACCTCAGCATGTGTGGAAAACAGGCCTGCGTTCTACCTAGCAGAACTCTAGGTGGTTTATCCTTCTGGTTTTAAAGTAAATACATCCTCAGGTGAATGGAGGAGAGACAGTGTGACCACAAAATTAAAGTGGGATGTCTCCTATAAATCCTTATTCAGAATTTCCTGAAAAAGTTTTAACATTCATTTTCTGTTACTTTGAACTTTTTGAATTTCATGACACATACTTGGTTCTATTAATTTCTGCTTTCTAGACTGTGCACTTGGTGGGTGAGCATGTGATGTCACAGAGATGAGGCAATAGTTTTGGAAGAGAGGTGCAGTAGGGGAAAGTTCCCAGCCTGCTGAATTACACCTGGGGAAGCCATTTTATGCCTAGACTTGGATAGGAAAGTGACATAAAGCAACTGTGTTTCTGCCACTGTTGTAGCAGCTGCCAAGTCTGCATGCCACATAAGACACCTATGCAGAACTCTGCATCCTCTAAGGTGGAGGAAATGGACATGGAAGACGTGCTTCTCTCCGAAAGGCTGACGATCGCTGCAACCAACTTAAAGGTGGAAGGAAGGACTGGCTCCACCGAGTTGTCCATTAACTTTCACTCTGTGCCCCACATAATAATAATAATAATAATAATAATAATAATAATAATAATAATTAATTGTGATGCTGATGCTGATGCAAAGAAGGAGGAAGAGAACAAGATAAAGAAGAATTTTAATACTTCCTAAAATTCTAACTAAAGTAATTTATTTACAGTTTAAATTGATCTTTTCCATAGCTTTTGTCTCTGGTTGAATGAGAGACAGTTCCAGTACAGTCCAATAGCAGCGAGAGTATAAGGATTCCATCCTGAGTTAGACTCGATTTTATCTGAAGATTTGTGCTAATGTCATAGCCAACACTTCAGTTAGGGAAAAATTGGGAGGCTGGAGAGACAGCTCAGCAATTATGAGCCACACTGTGAGCTTAACAAATGGCTGTAGCCCCCGTTCTGGAAAATCTGATGCTCTTTTCTGAACTTCATGGGCCCCAGGTACGGTATACATGCAAGCAAGATACTCAAACACATAAATAAAACCTAATCTTCAAAAAGAATAGGCTGAGTTAACTGTTTGACATGAGATATCCATGTGTCCCAGTACACTGGGGTACAAAATTCTGAACATGCATCTTTATGAACAAGACATAAAATGAACTGTGACCTTTTGAACTCAAATTTTGCAGGAAGACCTGCGAGAATAGGGGGAATTGCTTACAGGTTCTCTGTTTCAAGAGATCTTCCAATTATTTAGGCACTTTGAGGATCTTTTATTTATTTATTTTTTGACCATAGAAGTAAAACTGTGTTAGATATTATATTTCTCAGACTCTAATGATTCCTGACCTTGCAGGATAGCGTGTGTTTACCAAGGCTGAAGCCAGCTAAGAAGGTGCAGTGGAAGGCTGCCAAAGATGTTGAATCTCCCAGTTTAGAAGACCGAACTTCAGCAAGATAATAGAAGCAGGAACAAGCTAGATTTCATAATCAGACCCCAAAGATAGAATTTCAGCTGACAACCACAGAGACTCCATGCTCTCTTCTTTCAAAACTAGGTTATTCCTCTCTCATAGTTTGAGCCTGTACCTTGCCTTGTTAAAAGTTACTGCCTGAGTCACTATGTCTGTGGCTGATGTTAGAGCAGAAAGTCTGGGGTTTTGTTTGCTGGTTTGCTTTTATTTTTGGTCTAAAGGTTATAAATCAGAACTGTAATTTGCACATTAACCATCATGTGAGAACTCTTTCCTCTCAGCTCCTGGGAGGCAAGTGACAAGAGATGACAGACTGCAGAATACTTCTGGCTGTACCAGCCAAAGTTTGTGTCAATACTTTTATGTAATCAAACCTTAGTGGCTTCTTGAATGCTCTATCAATGCACCTAAAATGCTCTACACCTTCACCAAACAAGCCTGCCTTGTTATTTCACTAAACATCAAGCCGCTCAGAACAGTGGGGAATCAGAGGTCTGTAGGAAATTGGCTGCTCAGAAATTCTCTTCTGCCAATGCTGGCCAACACACTATAAAGAAACCAGCCTAGAATGCTGTGTTTTGTTCTGGGGATTTGCTAGAACTAACCATATTTATTCCAGTGACAGAAATTAGGGAACAAAAGGCACAGCTCATGTGATGTGAGCTGAACACAGAGTTGGCATGCTGTCTCCCAGAGTTGCTGTTGATAGGCATTCATAAGGACTAAAATTTGCATAGGTTTATTTCTCTAAATGTTAGTGTTCCATGCTTGTATCATGATTACTTTTTGTGGCCTATTCACGTCATAACAAAATGTCTTTGAGCCATAATAATTACATTGTGTGACTTTATGGCTAGAAGGTAGGTGAGATCTGTGTCGATTGTGATACTTATAAGAGTTTTTAATCAATTTTTCCAAGTTATGCCTTTCTGGACACAGGCCCTTTAGTGGCAGACATATGGCTCTGGTCAGTGACTCTTGAGTTGAGTAGAAAAGATGGATGAGTCTCCTGGATTTTGCATTTACTTGTCAGTATGTAAGCCTTTACAGTTCTCTTTGCTCTTAGCAATGGGCAATCTACAATATTTGACTTGGTAGCTGCATTTTAATTAACTTAGGTTCCTAAGGAATTGAAATGAGTAAACATGAAATCAAAACATATGACATGTGTCCTCAAGGTGAAATTTCTTTCAATATTTAAAACACTTATCTTATAAAGGGGTTTTTAATTTCCCAGCATAATCTACCCTACTTTGATGGCTATAAAATTTACTATATATGGGAGCGGGAGAGATGCTCTGGGGTTAAGAGCAGTGACTATTCTTCTGGAGGACTTGGTTTCAATTTCCAGCACCTCATGGTAGCTCACAGCCCTTTGTAACTTTAGTCCTGGGTGCTCTGATTCCTCTTCTGACCTTCACAGCCACCAAGCAGGCACAAGATGCACAGACATACACACAGCAAAGCACCCTGTGTTGCTTAGTTTGATGTCAACTTGACATAAGCTAAAGCCATTTGGGAAAGGGTGACTCTCAATTGAGAAAACGTCTCCATAAGATTTGCTTGTTCACAAGTCTGCAGTGCATTTTCTTGGTTGATGATTAATGCAGGTGGTTTCACCTCACTGGGGGCAGTGCAACCCCTCTGCAAGTGATCCTGATTGGTATAAGAAAGTTGGCTGAGCAAACCAGTAAGCTGCATGCCTCATGGCCTCTGCTTCAGTTCCTGAGCTGAGTTCCTGCCCCACCTTTCTTCAGTCATAGACAGTTACTTGAAATAGGAACCCATTTGTCTCTAAGTTGCTTTTGGTCATGGTGTTTTATATGCAAAGGAAACTCTAAGACAGACTGATACATATAAATAAAATATAGAAATAATTTTAAAAGTTGTTATATAAAAAAAAAAGTTCTGCCCCAAACTGAAATGTGTGGCATTGGTTTAGGAACCAAGGTAATGAAAAAACTGGTAGGCAGAGAAACTAGACACTTGACATATGGGAGAATCTACCAGACCTTGGAATTCTTCTGTATTTGTTGATAAAAATAAATCTGGAAAATGGAGAATGGTGACAGATTTAGGGACTATCAACAAGGTTATTCAAGCTAAGGGTCCTCTACAATCTGGAATTACTCTGCCTTCTCTGTTACAAAAGAGATGGCCTCTTATAGTTACTGATTTAAAGAATTTTTTCTTCATTATACCTTTATAAGAAAAGGATAGAGAAAAGTTTGCCTTCACAACACCTACTTATAATAATTCTCAGCCTACTAGAAAATATAAATGGACTATCCTCGCACAGGGAATGCTCAATAGCCCAACCCTGTGCCAATACTTTGTCAGCCAACCATTGAAAATAATACGTAAGTGATTTCCTAAGTCTATAATCTACCATTACATGGATGATAATTTGTTATCTGAGTCAAATACAGATACTTTAGAAAAAAATGTTTGAAGAAGTAAAGAAATTCATGCCTAAATGGGGATTACAAATTGTTCCTGAAAAGATTCAAAGAGGAGATTCTGTTAATAACCTAGGTTACAGAATCGGCTTACAGAAAATTATAACACAAAAGGCACAAATTAGGAGAGATGGGTTGTAGACTCTTAATGACTTTCAAAGATTATTGGGAGACATTTCCAGTCTGTGACGAGCTGTTGGGATAACACCTGATCTAATAATTCATTTAAACAAACCCTAGATGGTGATAAAGACTTGAATAGTCCCAGAGAATTAACAGCTGAAGCAGAAAAGGAACTGACAATGATTGAGGAAAAATTACAGGAGGCACATGTGGATAGGGTGAATCCAAATCTTAATTGTATCTTAGTCATAGTGCCTTCCAGAATTTCTCCTACAGGAATTTTGATGCAGAGGGATGATATTATATTAGAATAGATCTTTTTACCACATAAACCAAGTTAAAAATTAAAAACTTATGTGGGAAAAGTCTCCAAATTAATTATAAAAGGTAAATTGAGACTTCATCAATTAGTAGGTATAGACCCAGCAGAGATAGTGCCTTTTATTGCTGATGAAATATGGTAAATGGTAAAGCAGATATAAATATATAAATATTGTAACTGTAGTTCTTGCTTGATAACTTTTGTTGTATGTAATTTTACTATGTTAAAGTTAAAGCCTTCCTTTTTTGTTTAAACAGAAAAGGAGAAATGGTATAGGAGTTCCTTCTGTCTTTGTGTTGCTTTTTTTGGTTAATGAATAAAGACTCTGCCTTGGCTTGATAGGGCAAGAACTTAGGAAGGTGCAGAAGACAGAACTGAATTCTGGGAGGAAGAAAGCAGAGTCGGGGAGATGTCATGGACCTGCCACCAACGATAGACATGCTGAGACTTTGCTGGTAGGCCACGACCTCATGGTGACATACAAATTAGTAGAAATGGCTTAAATCATGATGTGAGAGTTAGCCAATAAGACGCTAGAACGAATGGGCCAAGCAGTGATTTAATTAATACAATTTCTGTGTGTTTATTTCAGGGTGAAATTAGCCAAGCAGGCAGGACGAACAAGCAGCGGGCCCTCCTCCAACATATCTCCATTGTTTTCTACTAATTTTCTCCTTTGTTTCTCTATGTTAACTAGGTTTATGATGTCTAAGTTTCCCCCAGAGCATAGAGAAGCATTTGAGATTTGTTCATATCTCTGATGGATATACTAGAAAAGACCCAACAGTTTTCAAAGCAAAAATGTATTTTTAAACTAAATATATAGTTTGTGTTTTCAGGCAGAAAACTTTCTTTTTTGTTAGTCTTTTTTTTTAATATCCTGCAATTCTACTAGACTGATTGGACACTGGTAATCCCAAATAGATTTTAAGTCATCATGTTGTAGAAATAGAGTGACCCATGGACGTTTTCACTCATTCACACCATCTCCTGTAACCATGTCAGCCCAGTTCACACCATCTCCTGCAACTGTACTAGCACAGACACAACCATACATGTTAACTCATAATCTTGCGGGGTTTGTGTTAAATGGCAGGACTGGGGAATTAGACCACATGGAGTAAAAAGCTGAGAATATGTACTATTTGTCCCATTATAGAAAGAGATTGCCCACACCTATTTGGTTTGAAGAGTCATATATTATCCTTTATTATTTCTTGATGCAGAAGCACTTGAAACTTTGACTTTTAGATGCACAGTCAACTATTCTTAATGAAAGATAAGTGAAGTATGGAAAATTATTAGTACTATTATTTTATTTATTTTTTTGGCTTGGAGATCAGAAAAGGGAGAAGTGGGTCTTCCATATTTGATGGAAGCAAAGCTTATAAAAGAAATAAAGGATTTGCAGTAACAAAGCCACATTGGAATCAAATTTCTCTATCTTGATGATTTTGACAAATCACTTTTTTCCATTCATCCACTGGCAAGTCCTAGGCCAGACCCAGTGAAGAAATGGAGAGTCCAGCAGCGATCATGCTCCAGTTGTCCTCGGCATCACAGAAGTTTGTCAGGAGAACCGAACGTGGCCTGACTGAAAGCACTCTGGCAAGTTTAAAATATTAGATAAAAATCAGCAAGTTTTCCTGTTTTGAAGTCATGGCCTCAGACACCTTTGACCCCCTCTTGCTGCTTGTTTATCATGTATGCCCGTACCTGATGCTGTCTCAGCATTGTGACACTCTTTCTTTAATGAGTGTTACTACTTGTCTAGCACTTGATTCACACCATTCTTCCCTTCCTCATAGAAATATGATGTCATTTAAGACAAACTAGCAGCAATATTGATTGTAACTGGCATCTTGCTCTGGGCCCACTGCATCACCGTACCACCCTGGCAGACCCAGGTTTCAATTTGGATCCTAGAACAGGTCTATACACTGGCCCAGACAGCTGGTTAAACAGATGAAGAAGCCTGGTAGCAAGTTTGCTACCAGCACTGGCATTTGAACTGCTGGATTCTCATTAGACTCAGAGAAGTTGGCTTTTCCCTGCCAAAACCAACCCATTAAGAAAGCCTAGACTGCATTAGCACATGTGTGGGTACCTCAAGACCATGAGTGAAATGTGACATTACTAAAGGAACAAACTTAAGATCCAGTAAATGACCCAAGAAAATATGCCTCTATAAATTTCCTGGCACATAATTCAAAGCATCATCTTAGGCAAGCTCGGTGACGTAAGACAGGACACCAATAGACAATTGAGTGTATGCTTCCATGGTGCTAAGGAGTATCCAAACATCACATCAGGGACCCCAAGTACATACAGTCTTTATTTGTTGACTCTTCCTTAAAGAAGGGAGCTGAACAAAAGGAACAGTCTTTTAAACGTCTTTGGATTCTTTATTAAGTTACTCATCAGAATCCACTAGGGCAAGCTGATTTTCTGGATAAAATTTGTTTTCTTCCTAAACTTTACATTATGCTGAATTTGCTTTCTAACATCAGTGTGATGTACAACATCTCTGCATTTGATTTTGCATACATGAAAATTTTAGTAATGACTTATCATGATGAAATTGGCATGATCTAAATAGTTATTCCATCCTAAATTTTTTTATTGTTCTTTAAATAACAATAATAACAAATTGATGTTCAGTGATTTTTCTAAGCATAGAACTTTCACAGCTTTGTTCAGATTATTTTCCAATTTACCTGCTTTTGAAAGATACAACTATCACAAGATTCGTATTGTAGAGTTTCAAATAGTTGGGGAATGTATTCCTACTGTATGGGAAGGAGATGGGAGGATTACAAGGTAAGGAACTCTTATAGACATACTACCATTCTTTAAAGAATCAAAACCAACCCAAAGAAACAAGTCTGGTAATTAGTGTGCTGGGAATCCCCACAACTCAATCTTACATTAGTGCTAGGAGTCAGAAGGGAGGACATTTAAGTGGCTTGGAAGATGGAGTAGGAATCTGAACTGCACCAACAGGTTTCCCTGCAGTCACACTACACGATTCCACCCACATCTTCAGGAAGAAGGATGCTTCCCTAAGGCTTCTAGTCAACTTTCATTCCTCTTTATTCCTCAAAATGGTAAGAATTTCCTCAACAGTAGCTCAGCAAACCACGAAGGAGATTCCTGCCTGTGCAATCAGTTAAGCTAGTTATCACTGATACCTCATACCAATATGAATCTAGGTATCGCTTCGAAATCTGCTTGACATAGCACTGTGCCAGAAGACCTTGGAAACTGCTGAATGTAGACTGGACCTGCAGCCCACAGGCACTCTTTCAGACTTCTCCAGTGCCTCTTTAATTTCTTGGCCTTAGGCGGAATAAGATAGGAGCTGAAGAACAATGCTGTAAGATTCCGCTAATAGAATGGAGGCACACAGGTATGTGTGTACACACACACACACACACAGAGAGAGAGAGAGAGAGAGAGAGAGAGAGAGAGAGAGAGAGAGAACTGCTTCAGCACCTTCATGGACCTCACTTATGCAGCTGACTCTCCTGAATTCCTTCCCTCCCGGGGGAATTTCCGCTGTGTGTACCTAGTGGGCTCCAGCTAAGAAGACAAAGTAAAGGCTTTTGTCCATTTTCCCCTTTGTAGTCCTGTAAACTGAACCATTCATGGGGAGTGTCAGGGTGGAGCCCATACCTGATAACACACAGGAGGGAAACTGTCACTTCCGGGACCTGTCCAGACCTAGGACATAATGCCTTGTTCAGCAGCTGGTTCTTGGTCAGTGCTGATTTGAAAGGAACCCCGAGCTCGTACGGCTTTTCCTAGAGGTAATAATACTGTGGAACTTCTTCACTGCACCCTCTGATTTCGTTTCCAGGAGCACATGTTCGTGAGGGACCTCTCTTCTCCTAAAACTGGAGTAAATAGAATCTGAAAGTTAGCACTCACGAAGAGTAATGGGGACTGGGAGTGAAGCCCAATGGTTAGAACTTGCCTCACAATGAACGAGGCTTTGGTCGCTATCCCCAGCACTGGGGAAAAAGAGTAATGAATGGCCTCTGAAAAACGAATGCTTCATCCTGCATAAAAACCATGCAAAGAAGTTTTTGTTTGTTTGTTTTTGTTTTTAGAGTATTCCTCTCCCCTCCCACTGAATCTATTTTTCCTTCCAAGGCAAGAATTGAGACTACCCTGCAACTAGCCTTGACTGTGTTGCTTTCTCTTAGCAAGTGTCCCAGGATAACTGGTGAGGGATAAGGTACACACCTAGACATCCATCCATCTGCTTTTTGCTTGGTAACAATGTCAAGGAAATATTTAACGGAAGAGACACTTTTGGAGCAGATGAGAACACTGGTATTTTGGAATCTCCTCAGCAGTCCCACGTGTCAGGCGGGCTTTGGTCCGGCCAGCTGTGTCGGGAGTCCCACACTGGGAAGGGAACCGCTACAGTGGAGTCTGGATGCTGTGACGGGAGTCCCACACTGGAGGGGAAGGGCTACAGTGGAGTCTGGATGCTGTGTCGGGAGTCCCACACTGGGAAGGAGAAAGGTTACAAGTGGTTTCTGGATTGTTCCATTTCCATGATCCTGCCAATAAATCAACCTAGAAGTTTATGAGGGAGTTTTCGGTACTTTTTTCCTTATTATTTCAAGAAAATCTATGTTTGTTGTCCTTCCTCCAGTGAAACGGGCACCCACTTCCTACGCTTTACTAAATGCATTTCAGTCATTAACACACAGCAAAACAGAATTACATCCAACCCCCCCTCCCCATTCATTAGACCCACAAGTCAGTTTCTCTCACTCCTTCTGAGAGCAACCCCATCCCTCGCTCCGCGTCTTATGAACAAACAGCCACAACTCTTCCACATGCAGCCAATCCTGCAGCAGCTCCGCTCAATCCTTGGACGAGAGACAGGTCGTTTTTTCAAACAGTGAGGTAGCAAAACCTTGACTTGCTTCCCCTCGGTGAGGAAAAACATGTCTTGTGTCACACAAACCCCAATCGGGTCTTCCAAGCTGCTTGCCAAGAAGTCCTCACATCATGGCAGCTGGCCCCTCCAGTCCACTGCTGCTCTTAGTGGACAAAGAACAATAAGGAGCTCAGCAGCTGCACAGTCAACAGTCCCCAGCATTTCTTGTCATTGTTTGGAAATAGGGAAATGCAAGGGGATAGTTCACCAGGGCAGAAGGGAAAACTTGGGAGGAAACAAAAACTGAGGACTGCTCCCTGCTGTTCTTAAATACTCAACTTTTCTGTGTATTTAAATAAACTTCAGAATGACCATTGGTCCATAAAGTTTCCACCGTCCCTTCTCTTTCTAACTATAGCCACACCCCTCCAGGCTTTCTTTGCTATTTCTTAGCCATGCTGTTTAATTTATCCCAAGCATTCTCTGGATTTTTTCCATTTCATTGAGAGAACATAGGAGCTTGAGCAAATGTCTGCTGGTGTCCTTATCGTCGTATATGTCCCCAAAGACAACTTCTCTAAAGAAAGTAAGGGAAAGAGGGGTTGCAAACTTGTTCACCTAGTCCTGTCTGCTTAAGGTTGCCCACCGGCCAGCAGTGGAAGGTGCCACACAGCCTTTGCTGACTTAAGATGGATTCGTGAATAATTGGTCTTGTGTGTAATAACATTCAAGTCATCAAAATCATTTTTACTTTATTCTCTTGATGGCATCAAAATTAGCTCTAAGAAAAATGTTAACTTCGAGATTTTAAGACTTGTTTCTGGTTTCTGTGAATTGGATATAATTTCCTGATTTGTTGTTGTTGCCTTGAGTTCCTGATCCTGACTTCCTAGGCAGTGGGAGTATGGGAGTTCCTGAATCCTGAGTTCCTAGGCTATGGGATTACAGGAGCATGTCACCATGTTCAGGTAGCTTCATGATTTTATTTATTACATTTGTGACTTGATTTTCTTTAGACTTTCCAGACTTTTTATTAGATATACAAATAAATGAGTTTCTTTTAATATCGAATTTATACTTTCCAGTTTTATCAGATCTTCATAATCATGAGCCCCAATAAGCCAATATAAGACACACTTTCTCTTTTCTAGTTTTATATTAATTTCGTGTGCGGCTGACTGTGAGTCTGGGACACACTTGCTGTGCCTGAAGATGTCAGAGTCCAGGGACGACGTGGGGCTGGAGTTACAGGTGCTGTGCCTGCCTGAT